CCGCCAGGTTAGACCTTGCTTCCAGCGATGCTCTCGTTCTATGGCTTTGGGATTCTTTCGCCCAATGATGTGATTTCGGAACGATACTGCCTTTTATGTACATCCCCTGTGGAACTTCGCTTTCTTCGAATGTTTGCTTCTCAACGTGTGCCGGCGGCGCGCGGGGTTTACGGCTCATGGAGCCGGAGAAATACTCGGGCGGCTCCTTTGCTTCGACTCTTGAATGAGGCGGTTTTCCAGTGGACGGAATTCTGCATAAGCATTCGGGACGGCTGTCCATGTATACCGATCGGCAGTGGCGCTAGTTTACGGAGAATATTCGCTGAATTGGGATAGTCTCCGCCAACTCGGCCGGAAAGGCTGGGCCCTCGGAAGGAGAACCCAGTGACCGGGCTAACTATTTGCACCACTAGACGGAGGAAACACTGGCTGAAATGAGTTGGACGCAGCTCGGAGCGTCCCGTCTCGAGCAGAGTTTAGACCGGACGCTCGGTTGGTCGCCGGTTTGCGCAGCGAGCTCGAATGGCACCGCCTAGTTTTTGAAGGTCTTCCGCTGACGAGTGACGTACCTGACGGGCTATACGATGGGCGGATGTTACTGTGTAGTAATGAATATTGGGGCAGGATCGAACGGGTAGCCATTCCGTGGAGGATACGTAACCCACATTAGTGAGACCTCTGAGTGAGTAAATACCTGGAAGTCATTCGGTCGAGGCATCGGTGCGTATCCGCAATGTTGAATTGCTCTGGATGCGGCATTTATGCTCCGAGCATTCGCTCAGAAATAATGAATGCACGGGCCGACAATGAACGATGTCGGGTGTCGTCGCTCAACGCTCCCTCACTTAGCCGTCTCGGTGCGCTGTCAATATACATACATACATATTTACAGTTTCGCTGCTCATTCGGCGATTCGAGCTCAGCTGTAGATCGTTTCCCCAGCTCTGACTGGCGCTACGGAATTTCCTCGATTCTGATGAGAGTGAGTGCCATTCAGATTCTGCGCACGAACGCTCTCATCCACAGTGAGGACATTCGTTTCGTTCGCCGGGGATGCAGGCGGTCGATGCTCCTTGATTCTATGAATGCGAAATAGTGAGAATCATCGCTCCCTCGGTCCCACTCCGCCGGGCCGATCGGTTGGCAGACAGGCTGCGAATCAAACTCCGACGCAACGTCGGCGTCGTGAGGGTTTTTTTTCTCTCTCGCTGGAGACGTCCTGCTATGCATACAAGGTGCCGCAACTCCCGTGAAAGCCCCAAGGCTTCCGGCCAGGGAGGCCTTCGCTCAGAAAAAATCTAAACCTGCATGGATCTGAGGGCGCGACTTGGCGAGAAAAAATTGTGCAAATATGCATGGCCTACTGGAATCAGACAGATGGGAACGCCGACAGCCATACTCAGCTGACTGAGCTTCACGCAGTAGCAGGAAGACAAGGGGGCCGACAAACAGACGGGCAATCAAGCGAAGTTTCTGCTCCCGACCTTGCTCTCCGACTCGAGTTTTCGAGAACTCGTTCCTCATTCTGAGGGGTGATGGCGCTCAATTCACTCATTTGCTTCCGTGATTCTCCCCGGGAATCCCTTGTGACGCAGTGGGGAGCTCCGGTCTCCGACGGTTATGAGCGCGCGTTGACCGATTGGAAGAATTCAGAAACGGAATTCATTCTCAATTGTCCATCGGTCCCCGAAGGATCAAATTTGAAACATCGTGAAGAAAAGGCGCGCATCGATATGCGCTCATCCAGACTGGAGAGCCCATATATTAGATCCGTCCTGAGCTTAGAGCATGCCGTTTCAGCGGCGCGGCGAATCAGGCGAATCTCCGTGGTAGTTATCATGAATAGATCATCCGAATGTCGACCATGTTCGACTGCCATGAAGCTTCGTCGAGGGCTTAACGCAAAGAAAAAAAGGCGTCCTCGTCATCCGGGAGGGATTCCATCGCGCGCAAAAACGCATAGGTGATTTTACACGATCGTCCTACGTATTCCTCATTGAACATACATACATCGTTCTGGAAGGAGAGTCTGCTCCTTGGGATCAATTTTTTTCGGAGCAGGGAAGTGCGAATCCCATCTAATCTTGCGGAATGAAAGAATACCTCCTCTCGGGGTCATGTCGTATTCATGCGCTTGAGGAATCCTCTGGCGACGCATTCCACAGGCGTCTGAGGATCAATGAATGCAGTCCGAGCTCTGAGCAGGGTACAAAGGGAGAGCGGCGAGCTGTTCTGGGGCCTTCGTTCGACCGACTGATGAATCCACTCTCGACTCGATGGATGTATGGAGAGGAAACGTCCTAGGCCGGAGCCGCCAGAGTCGATCCAACTCCGAACTCGCTCGCGTATGTATCCGAATCAGGCCGCGATGGGCAAGATTCGGCACAGGCTTCCCCCCTTGTAGAGGCCCCGGTCGGGGATGATATGATGGTGGGAGTCGTAACCGTCGGGCGGTCCTACCTTCTTCCAGGGAGGATGATTTCCAATGCGACAGGTGGGAAACTTTGCTTTTCCAGAACTTACTCTCGCGAAGCTGATCGGAAGGAAAGTCATTCACCAGACTGGGAAGTCTGCCCTCTCCGCCAATTCCTGCGAAATCTCCTGGCCCAGAGCTGTCATTAAGTCGCACATGGGTCGTCCCGAGTCCGTGAAGATATCGAGCCGGCGGTCGCTCTTCTTCTCGGTTTTCTCTTCATTTGTCGCTAACTGGCTCCCTTCAGGGCTCCCTCTCTCCGTCGGCGGAGGACTTTGACGGAGGGAGTGGTTGTCGTTTTCCTTATCAGAAGGAATTCATCTCGTTGTAGGGCGTTTTTAGGGGCCGACTCCGCTCGTTCGACAACGGCTGAGTGAACCGGCGCATGTGTCAGTCAGCTTGTCGAGTTTGGAACTCGGGATTTTTTGGAAGTCATTGATTGATTTGTACGTACAAGCTGGTCCCGAGCAGTTCCCTATCTTTCCGAACACAGCTCCCAGAGATCTCTCAAGCTGCGGGCCGCTGAGTGACTTGGCACTCTGTCTCGCGTGATCGCGGCGCTGCCCACGGGAGGTGCCGGGCGAGACTAACGAGAGACTTGGCGGTTGCCAAGATGGAGTCGCCATTTTCGAGCAGTAAATTCTTCTCCTAGAGATATAACGATTGCGTCTCCCCGGCGCACCGTCCTCCGAGCCTCAAGTTATTCTCTAGTGCAACCGCTGCGCCGCCTCCTCCCCGACTCGGAATCTGCCATTTCAGGGGACTGCTTCCTTATTCCGGATCAGATCAGTCTTTGACGAGTGTACCGACAATTCCGAAATGATTTCGCCGGGAAATACGATCATCCTCGCTGAGATGAAAGAGCCGAGTAGAATCCGTAATCTGGGGAGAGTGTGTATTTACCAGTCATGCCACGTATGCGCATAGCTGAACACCTGAAAGGTCTGAGAATTGGAAGCGATCTTAATATCTCTAGAGTTTGATCAGCCGTGTTCGCCAACGCGAAAAGCCCCACCAACCTAGATCAGAAGTTTTGAATATCGCTCAGATTTCCTGACGAAGCTCGACGTGAGATGAAGTCTTCGACGACCGCTCGACGACGCGATCTCTCGGGGAGCTCCTCAATTTTTCGAAATTTCCCTCGACATCACTGTCATCGGAATGAACGCTCCCGCTGCGGGATCGACGACTATCTCTCCATTAATCCACTTATCCTGGGGAGCTGCGCTCGGAAACTGGAGGGAACCGCTACCAGAGGGGAGAGCTTGCCCCCGAATGTCGGAGCGAGGATGGAAGTCCATCACGATTTTCCCAGACCGTAATCGGATGGGGTATGAGCTCACAGGGAATCCCATCGGCAGTACACGCATATGTAAGAGCGCTGCCATCAAAGAGGGCCAAACTTAGCTCGATTCATTTCTGCTGCATGGTATTCCGCGCATGCCGAGCACGAGTCTGGGGCGATTCCGTCACCAAAAATCCGTGGCCCGGAGAATCGCGAGAGAAATAATACACGAGCTTTGAAGCGCGATAATATCTGCTATCGTTCGGATCGCCGTCGGTGTTTGCGTCTTATCCGAATAGCATGAGAATCGCTCTGGACTCCGCGGACATTGTGTGATGAGCCTCAGCCGTGCAGAGCAGCGCAAGGGTGGTGGGCTCTCTCGTCCTCTAATTTGAATAATTCCTCCGTCTGCGATCCGGCATTCCACGTGACGGTCGCTCAATGAAGGCTGAAAGTTTTCTCCTTCGTCTGCGCAGAAGACGCCTTCAGTGGTGCGGAACAATGACCGCTTGTCATGCGAACATTTATTCCCGATAATAATTTGAGTACATCAAACTGACTGAATCAGTCAATGCTTGATTGGATAAATGCATAAATTATAATATTCTCAGTTTTCACGCAGGGTCTGAGAACAGTGATGGGATATTTGTCGGAAATAAGCTTCTTGGAATGCCTTGCGGATGGACGTACCTTGTTCATCCGCCTAGACCACTCCGACTGCGGCTCGAAATCAATCTGGGTGCGCAGAATATTCGATACCATGGATGAAGAGCCACCATGGCTTGGGATCAACTCATGGCAGAAGTGTGACAATATCAATTTTTTTTCGGAATCCAGGACGGCTCTGCTGCATGGTGGAATGCAGCCTTTCCACCGGTATGACGTATCACACGAGGACTCCGCAAAGAGTGCCCTAGAAAATTCCTCACTGAACTTTGCGGGGGCGACCCAATCTGGATTCGCCGGCCAGAGATGGGCCGGTCGTCGTGGCACCTTCTGGCCGAGAAATTCCCCCCCCCCCATCCGTCCGATGACGAGTCACCCCCTCCATTCTACGAAGTGGGCTTTCTTTCGGGTCCATTCGAGTTGTTCCCTTGTGCTGGGAAGTTGCATTCAAACAACCATGAAACATGAAGTTGGTCGCCGCTCATAAAGCCCCGTCAAGTCGTCGTTGCAAGTGATTGCTAACTGAGCCATTGTGCAAAAGCGGAGCACGCTTGTTCCGGTTTGCGAAGCACGAACCATTGCGGTCGATGCCTGTTAGGGTAGACTGTCCGTCCGGCATTTGTCTAACCGTCAGCTCGGCGCTCGCCAGCGACCCGTGAGCGGAAATGTCGCCCCCGGCAGGTCCAGGGACCTGCGGGCTCCGAGCAGCAGGAGGCTGTCCCACTCAAAAGTTGCTTGCTCGAGTGGAGCACATCGCCAAGGCAAACATCTAGCAGAGACTAAATTTGCTGACGAGCTCCCCTCCATTAGAATACGACGACAATTAGACGACATGAGACAAATTAAAAGAAATTCCGATGTCCCCTCCGTATCTCCGAGCTGCAGGCTCAACGTTGCTAGAAGACAAAGACCTAAGAGAACTGCATAATGAAGCGCTATAATGGAGCGGCGGCAGCAGCAGCAGTTCCTGAGAACTCGGTTTGATCGGTTCTCGGGAGATTCGACGGCCTGTGAAGAAAGAGGACTGCGGGAGGATCGCTCATCTAGCCGAGCTTTTCGCGGTCCGTCCCAAACGTGGGTATGGAGCCTGTGGAGGACAATCAGATTTTAATCAGGATCGCCAACGGCCCTCCCTAACCAAGAAACTCTGCTCTATCCTGTCATTCTCTTCTCCGACCCTCGAAAACGCGTCCCAATGCCCAGGAAGCCTGATCGGCGTCAAGCTCGGCTCGCGTCGCCATCGAATGACGTGCATCGAAAGTAACATGTGCTTCTTGGTGCTTCGGGAGAAATGCACGCTCCTCTGCTCAGTTCGCCGGATTCTCGCGTTCGAAGAGGTCAAAAACAGACAATAAGGATACATAGCTCCGCTCGGCTTTCTATTCATACTCGAAGCTGTGTTCCGTTTTGCCTCTTGAACGAAATTCGTGCTCGTGTGCCTTGTCTGTGATCGGCGTTTTGTTTCTCACTCGAACGAAGACGATACCGTACGGAATCTCAACTCACCACCACTGCTATTTGATATCTATGCCTTGATGTTGTAGGAAGATGGCCTCCCCGGGACCGGTAACCTGCTACACACCTGTGAACGTGGAACAAGAATGTCTGACTAAGCTGAGTGAAACCGCTCAGCAGCTTATCAAGTTCCGTCTCTTCGAAGACACTGAAGGTCAGGACCCTAGAGCCCTAAAGGAAAGCTTCCACCTGTCATGAAGACGATCAAAACGCGTCGCTCGTCGTCCACCATTCCTCACGACGAAGGCAACTTTGTAGCGATGAGTCTACATACATGCTTTGCTTGGATACGAACTCTTCGGATTTCTAGGGATCTGGGTATGTTGCGACTGGTGTAGCAAGTGGCGATACGTTCCCGATTGGAAGGATCCAGCCGCCTTGCAGGATAGCGCGTTCAACTGCAAACAAGGTGAATAAATCGACCCAATGATTCGACGTGAAATACTCGGAAGTCCCATGTGTAACTCTGAGGCTTTGCGATTGAAGTGGAGAAGAAATGCAGCGTCGACGATGATGAAGGCTTCGACCAAGTTTTCTACGAAACAAAATACTGCGCCGGGAGCTTGGTATGGGCGAAAAGACCAGATAATCATAAAGAGAAGGAGTGGCGTTGGTGGCCAGCTCTTGTCGAAGACTCACCAGATCCAGCGTCGCAGTATTTCCTACTCGACGGCATTAGTGAAATTCCGGCGAGTAAACGGATGTCTCTGTGTGTTCGGATACGCCTGAGTCGATTCTGGGCTCGGCTGTGGACGTCGACAACTCCGAATTCGGATATGCGATGCAGTTCCCTTATTCCAGAATTCAATTTTGCATTTTCAACAGATCGCCTATCATGTTACCTTTTTGGACGCGTACCGCACCTGCGGCTGGGTGCGGTCTGACCTTCTGAAACCTTTCCGAGCCCGATCGAAGAATGTGGTCAAAATCTCTGCGTCCCGAACAGGCGGGAAACGAAGCCTCCTCAACGAAGCCGTCATTCGCGCCAGAGAAGCTGCGAAAATCGACGTCATACGCAGACTCGAGAAATTCTCCTACGTCGCTCACATGGTGTGTCGTGTTTTTCTCTCCATCTCTGTAATCGGAGACTTGGTTCACGCTGCCGAAAGCGGATGAATTACTGTTGCTGATTTCCCCGATGCAGGCTCGACTCGGAGGCTGTATAGATTCGAACTCAGGAGAAGCCGATGAGATCTTGAACGGAATGGGATCGACTGCCGATCGTGAGTACAACTCGAGCGTAATTGCCGGATTCGGTGGAAACGAACGAGGTGCCCCCATGATCGCCAATAACGGTACTTCCGGCCAGGTCCCCCCGCCGGGAAGTCTCCAGAGAAACACAGAAAAACTCTCGGCGCTGCCAGGAAACGGAAATCGGAGGCATCCGACGTCGAAAGCTCGAGCAAACGATTGAAGTCACCGGATGCATCAGGCGAGCGACCTTGCGCGAACCGAATTGAAATTACTGAAATTCCCGTACCGCAATGGCCCCCCGGAGCTTGAAAGGATCTCGAGCCATTTCGCGGTATCTATTGACTTCGAACTTCTCAAACTTCAGTTGCAACGGCGACAATAAGTGAGGCGCCTCCCGAGGGACCGGTAACGCTTCTGGAAAAGGACGCGGGAGAAACTCCGGACTACGCGAAAGCTCAGGTAGAGATCGACAGCGGCTATGCAAACGAGGAGGAACTACCTGTCGAGAAAGCGCAAGGACCCCAGAAAAAGAAGTCATCGAGAAGAGCTGCGAAGGCATCCGAAAATGATTCATCGAAGACCGGTGAGGCGAGCGCAGCGATTCGTGATTCACCTCACAGATCCCTACTAGGACAAGGAATGTCTATCTATCGCTGTGTTTCAGGTGCCTCGCCTCCTGAGAATGAACGTTCCGACTCACCGATTCGAGCGGTCGAGACATCGGATCCCAGAGGACAAAACTCAGTAGGGGAGCAAAAGCGGGAAACTCCTCCTGGATCCGAGGTAGCCGCTAGAAAAACTTCGGAGACAGAAAACAACGTTCTTCGAAGGGTGGGATCACGGTCCCCAGAAACTACGGCCGAACCGGTGGTCAAGACCTCGCGGCGGAAGAAAGCTCGAAAATCCGGGTCGCGAAAAACTCCGCCCAAGGAAATAAGCAACGATGCGGAAAGTCTTCCCGAGAGCGCGGATTCCCTGAGCAGCGGTGCGATTCAAGATAGTGGTCACGGTAGTCTCGGTGACTCGTTTACAGCGTCAGTTCCACAAAGTACCGTTAACGAAGGTCAAGCGTCGGCGAACGCAATTGCGAAAACGGTGGACGTAGAGCTGAACTCCAACGTCAAACTCGTCAAAGCTCGGCGACGGAAGAACAAGGATGCTAAAGATGTCGAGAACAAGCCACCGCAATCCTCCCCGAAATTCTTCACTCAACAACCTCCGCGCAAGAAGAACACGAGAGAGCAAAATCCTATCGCAAAAATCAAAGCTGACCCAGCCCCGAAAAAAGTTCTCGACATCTCCATTAGTCAGGTGAGAGAAGATCATCCGAGAAATCGGCTTTTGAAATGATTCCTGTAGTAATTCGCTCCCTTCGCCAGCTCATGAGAGCGGGCGTCCCCCATTCTGTTTGCTCCGGAATGTTCTCTGTATTTATGCTGTATTCACCATTGTATTGATGGTGATACCCATCCTCTGGCTTAAACCCTGATTTCTCATCGTCACATTAGAACAGCTACGGATCTCCTTGGAGCCTGCTGGGCAGTCCGAATCTCCCTAGATTGTGCGTAGCGTACTCGGGAGAGATATTGACAATCAGGAACCTGTTTCCCGGATGGTTGAGATCTATGTATGTCAGGAGAGCTTCGCGATCCATTGGCACGCGAGGTATTCGGGCTGACAATGTGCGTGGCGGATCCTTTCCCAGTTCCCAGAAATGCATCGCGTCAGGAATTCGTCAGGCATATGATATTGACCTCGGATCGCCTGGAGTCCGCGGTGGGAGTTCGCTACAAGCGAAGCTTTCCACTGTTGCAGAGCCGTCGGAAATGTCCCTTGTCATGAGAGCAACGGAAAAATTCAATATATCCTCTAAGCGAGCAGTCTCGGAGCATTAGGTGACAGACGCGAGCCAGCGTCCTGTCTTTGATCGTGAAACAATGTCCTTCACCAGCTTGTCTGACGAAATTCATCATCATTGCAGCCGATACCAGCCCGACTCGCTCGTGGTAAATTCGCCCCTCCTACACGAGCGAAACAAAACATCGGATCTTACTATCTGGAGGATCTGCAGCGGGACCTGAACGAGGGTATCATCTGAGGCTGGGAAGGTCGTCTCTGGAGAAAATTCATCAATCACGGAATTTTCACCCTTCGATACGTCACGATTGCATGTCTGTCATCGTGAGTGGCGGTAATTTAATAACGAGGATGTTCCAGGACTCCTCTCTCATGTTTTGTACGCTTTCGCTCGCTTAACCCATCATCGTGGGGACATGGTCACTTGAGGAAATAGGCAGGATTTGTGCGTCAAGATGTTTTCGAGGCTCTATCTACTTGTTCATGGTAAATTGTTTTGAGATAGACTCGGAACATCACGACGAGTGTGTGCCGATTTCCCCTAGTCCCAATGAAGTCTCATCTGTAAATAATATCATTGTCAGAAAATGTTGGTCTCCTTTCTACGTCATCGGAATGTTCGTTAGGTGACCGACGTTGTACGAAGATCGCTTTCGGAATTTATCGCTCTGGAAGTGAGAGCGGGAATCGTCATTGATAAGATCGCGGATGGCTTGATCAACAGCGACTAGAGCTGCCATGAGATGGGAGGATCTAGTAGATTATAATGCAAATATCGGCGACTTTGTCGTGCGATTCAGCGAGGGAATGACAAGTTACAGAGATTTCGTCGCTGCCTCTCTCATTTCAGCAGAGATTCCGCCTCCAGTCTGAGAAATCCGCAACAATGAAGGCGGACGACTTATTCAAATTTCAAAATGAGTCTGGAGATATATTGAAGTTTCCAATTCGGAGCACACCTACACACCTTGTGTATCGGCCAGCAGTCGCGGATCTTTAATTATTTGAGATGAGAAGGACGTCCTCGACGGATCCGTTCGAAATACTGGTCCAGATGCAGAGTCTGGCTTGCAGAGGACCAGCCCGGTGAAGCACGGAGTGAAGACCGAAACGACCATGCAAAAGGGTATCTTCGCGGATTGAAAGCGAGAGCGATCGCTCGCCCCGTGCTGCCTTTCCAATCGCCCACGAACACGATAGGCGATCCCCAATCTCATACTAGCCGTGAAATACTGATGATAGTTTGGATGTTTGAATTTGGATTGGCTCTGTTTTCCCGCGAGACGAAACCAGAAACATTCGCCAAGTCCCACCAAGTCGATTTGATAGAGCTAATCGATCGGCCAGCGATCATTAGTAATGGTAATGTTATTCGCGACGATAGCGAGCCAGACGAGGGTCGAGCTCCTCCGATTAAGACAACCTTCAAGCCCGAAAATCTATGGGGATGAAGCTCGGAACGAGATCTGTCCAGTCCTCATGATCGCGGGACAGGCCGACGTTATTGTGGCATGATCTAGAGGGGAGGGAGCGGCGCCGCGAAGGATCAGTCGGAACGGCTAAATTTTTCAGCTCAAAGTTTCTCTGTATTTCGGGACGGAGAAGGACGTAGAGCGAGAATACTTCGTTGGGGATCCATCACCCCCTCGGGTGGTGAGCTGCGTCGACCTGCCCATTTAAGCACTCCCGAGAGGCGACGAATTCCCTCGAATCGAGAAAAACTATTGGTCTCAGCACCTCGGCACTCTGAAGGAGTCTGCTGCCCATGAACTCGCTCCGCAGACAGAGATATACTGTCATTGCGGAAGGTGTCGATTCTCTATCTCCACTCCCTTTCGAGCTGGTCACCGTCTCAGTTCGGCCTTACTTTCGGAAAAGATATTGCGATTCTCCATGGACGTATATTCCAAGTTTGAATCCCCCGATTCTGCTCCCTGAATTCTCACGGATCGCTTCCGTCACTGTTCTCGGGCGAGATCGCTGCTTCCCCTACCGTCTACGCTCTCTTGCTCCTTGAAAGTCGAATGATAATGATGAGTGATGATAAAATTCATTCAGCTTACAATTTATTAGACCGGACATTCGGTGCTAACTGCGAGACACCCGAATATGGTAACAGAGCTGCGACGCGTCACGCGCGAGCGTCCGTGATTCGTTTTCATGAGCCCGCGGTCTCTGAGCTACGGTGGGAACAATTCAGCGGAGAGGAGCTTTGGCTCTACGAGCTACGACCCGGGACTTTTCTCCTGAGTCTTCGTCCCCCAGCAGATGGTTCGAGCACGAGCTTCCAAGACGGATGTGCGGAAGTAAACATGAGAACTCCTTCCAAGGGAACGGCGCGAAGTCGTCCCGAGATGAACTCCGACTCTCATCCGAGGATTCGGAAATATTGGGAGGCTCCTCAAGAAGGTTTAAATGCCCGCACCGCTGGGGGGAGGGAGGCAGACACTTTGCGTAGGGTTCTGCGTTTCTGAAGACGCTCGAACCCGAGTTCATACTTGTTTTTTAAAGCTGTTCTGAGCAAGACCATGCTTTCCGAACGACCTCCGCTTCGGAGTAGGCTTGCGGTAACCATTCTCATTCAGTACTGGCCTCTACGCGGCCTTTGCTGGCACGGGCGCGTGTTTTTGAAATCGGACGTGTGCGTGTAGCTCCCTCGTCGACGCTGCGGACCAGAGGACGAGGGAACCATGCAAGAGCGAGAGAGGGAGAACCTCGTTTTAGGCTTAGAGTTTCAGACAGCCATCGAACTTGTGAAATACAAGAGGCGCGATCTACCTCGCTCGTGATCGACTTTCCCCGTCTTGGTTCAGTCATGGATCAGTCAAACTCACCTTCATCCGGAGACGGCTCGGATCTCCCGATTTTTGTGAGTAACCCTCGCTAAGTAGGATTCCTCATGATTTCTAGCGCTCCGCATGAGATCGATGCTCCAAATATTGCGGCTGGATCGGAGGATCCGACAAAGGGTCCCGAATGGGAATAATAAAGCGCTTGTTTACAGAATTTCTCGCGTTTTGAAGATTCAGAACTTTATCTGCGGAACAGAGACGTCCTCCGACATTATAGCCAACCTTTCGTGGTTTGCACGATCTGTAACATGTACTCTGGACCCGCGGATGTCATAGAGCAGCACATGGCATCCCACGGAGCGCCAAGGATAGCTTTGCCAGACTACTCCTCCGTCTGGGCTGAGATGAGAGAACGAATGAGCCTTGAAGAAGGAGCACGATCAGGACCAGAGACGAGACGCGCCGAAGCTTGGTTGAGTCGTCTCTCTGAAATTCTGCTGAACGATCCTTCTGGTCTCCGGGCTAAGTTCCCTGATATAGAAATATCAGTCGAACTCGGCAATAAACCGCTAGAAGTCGAAGAGTTCGACGCCTTGCTCAAGGGATCCGAGCTCAAAAGCGGAAACTCGCGGACGAGCGGTGAGCGCGTCAGTCTAACTAAGTGAACCGAAAGTTCTGAATAGCGAAAATCCCCTTTCTATGACATCTAGGTCAGAAAGGGAAGAGATTTAGGATATATGCAGCTAATGTTCAGGATATATGCAGCCCTTGAGTATTCCGGATCCTAGAACTGGAGTAACAAAACAGTTATGTTCCAGGAAATACGCTGTTGGACGGGGAGTCATCCAAATACCCGTACGTCGTGAAGTGTCCGAAATGCAGGAAGAGCTTTCTCTCAGAAGAGAATTTCGCCCATCACCGACTCCAGAAAGGACACTAGGAATACGGCCGTGAATCCCTGCTAATGATTAATTGTCAGACTGAGAAAATTGTTTGTCGCTTAGAAATTGGGGAAGCACCCTCTAATTAACTAAAAACATGCCTTTGAGGAGCGGAAAATGTGAAAGGCCACATTTCGACCCTTTTCAAAGAACTCCAAACGACGGAGTCTTGATTTCATGAATCACGTCCGGCAGGGCTGATAGACAGAGGGATTAAGCACAGGAGTCTCCACTTGAGCGGACGCCTCCCGAGGAAACCCTTCCGAGGCTGCGTCCTACCCGCATGCATGTTGCCCAACGTTCCTTGCAAGGAATGAAGGATTACACATCTAGAGATCTCACCATCAATTTACACCGGGAGTCTTCAGGGTTCGGGGTGCTCCGATTGTCTCGCTCATTATATGAACCGTTGCTCTTTCGAGAAGTATTGACACAAATCGTCGCTGATCCTCTCCTTGGATACCAGCAACCACAACTCCGGAGTTCCAAGGAATTTCTCCCCGCGGAAAAATTGCGCAATCTTTTAGATTTTCTGCTGATTCTTCACTCCTTGGCGTGGATGGTTCAATGTACCTATATGTTCCCCGGATGGGGAGTCCTGCGCCATAGAAGCCTTCGCTAGAAAGCTGAAGTGTGCCACCACTGCGTCGAACCAGTTTTATATTTCCCTTCAGAACTATCAACCGCAAGATCAATGATCCGATGGAAAGATCGACGCCGCGACCAGTGAACACCAAGCAGAGCTGCCAGCACACTGACTCTCGCTCGCGCGTAGTCGAATACACAAACCCACACCCCTCTCCCCCTGCAAGATCAGACGGCTACTGAATTTGACGTTTCCGTCATTTGTTAGCCGGACAAGGAGCCGAGAACCATGAAGATATACGCAGTTTTCTTCCTTCTGAGCGGTGAGTTTTCCTCTATTCCCGAGCATGGACAGCCAGTAATGTCTCCTAACATCGCGCTATGAGGCAATCACGCGCTCTCTGTGATCGTGAGGTAGACGCCCCGTCGGTGAGCTGCTTTCTTGGAGCGAGTCTGATGTTGAGAAGATTTTGCAATCCCAAGGAGTCCTGCTAGGAACCGTGCTCTGTTCCGAAACTGGAAGAAACAGATCCCTTAGCTCAATGTCAGGGTAGCATGCCGATTTGCAGAGAGGGATCTTGAGCATCTCGAGGGTATCGCTGGGCGGCGGGATTCGGCATCAGCGAATGTTCATCGATGCGATTGGTCAATCTTGTCCCGTAGTCCGTCCGAGAATTTCGATTGCGATATTCTCTTCTGTGCCGACGGCTTTCTGAATTCGTGTCAGAACCGAATCTGAAGGACGAGTCGGGACCGACCTTCTCTTTCTTCCTCTGCAAATGAGCAACTTGATGGACGTGAAGTTAGCCGGCTTCTGCTCGATCGGAAAGAATCACGGTCACCATGACGAGAACATTCTGTTCCGATTGGTCTTCCAATTCTCTCGGCATCTGGTTTGAATGCAATACATGGTCCCGCGTAAGCGACATGCCAATGCCCAGATGACTCTCGCCAAGCTAAGGGTGAGACCAGTGACGATCACTGATCAGTCCTTGCTGATAACGCGAAGACGTGGGTGGTCAGTTGTGCATTATATAGACCATCCTGGACCGCTACCGCAATACATCGCACCCCGAACTTCTCGTTGGAGCAATGTACCGAACGGGGTGATTGACCTTTGATACTGGTTTGCTTCTGTGCTTCGTTCCTTCTATGGGGAGGCAATTTCGATCGTTTACTTTTCAGGAATCGCTTACAGCAGCGCTCAGGACGGCACGAGGAAGTGCTTGGATTGCATCTGTCAAGTAAGTGGAGATGCTACCAGACATGCTTCTAGATAATAATCGAATCGTCGGATTCCGTGACGAGGGAGTAGAGTCTGCCTCGTGATCATCTGCGGGGCCTGCGCTCCTGGTCCGCGTATGGTTTCGTTGAGCTGATCGAGGGAGCAGTGGAAACTTCCTCCCTCATTGAGCCCGAAAAAGATTGACTACCACCGAGCCGATAGACAATCATCTTCGAAACAAGCACGTGATTCTTGCGAACCGGGTCCGTCGGATAAGAACAACGATTCACGATTTCGGCTGACCGAGAAACGATCTTCCCAATGTAGGCATCGACGAAATGCAACCTGAATCAGGGATGTCACAATGCCGGACCTGAGTCCTATTTCTGCGGTCCATACACGCTGTCCTATGCCTACTGGGTTGACGCGGGCAAACCGGGCGAAGGGAAATTCGACCGTGAGTAACTCTCTACTCGTTTCAAGATTCTGTGAATACGTGATCGATCCTTTGAATCTAAAGACGGAATCTTGCTTCGATCCAGATTTCGAGAAGTGCCTGAAAGATAAAACCTGTTCCGAGACAACGGTTGTCAACTACATGAACAAGTGGGGAACTGATTGCGACGGAGACGGTAGAGTCACGTGTTACGACTACGCACGCATCCACAAAGGGGGACGCAACGGATGCCCAGCGAAATGGGTCGACGATACCGAATACTGGACTTCCTTCACTGACTGCATGCAAGGAAAAAACTAAGTCCTTCGAGCCCTAATAAAAAGATAGCCGTTCTTCTCGCCTCTTCCGCCGTCGATCGCCGTTCGCCGATCCAGATGATCTTCGGTCGATGATTGGAACACGCGCTCCCGTTGGCGAGCAGTCGCCGCGCTCCATTCGGTCGGCAGAGCTCAACTTGTAATCCTTTATATCATTCGAGAAATCAATGGCCATGATTTTTCCTCTTATTCCTGAACTATTCGTTGCGAGCGGATCGCAAGGAGTGCGAGCTCTAGGTGGGTAAAGGTGGGAATAGCTCTGCAGGGAAAAATCGAAATCGGTAGGTCTTTCTTAATGTATTCGTCGCTCGAGCGGCTCGTACGGTCAGAGCGACATCCCTCCAGAACTCCAGGGTTCTCCCACCGAGGACTCCAGGGTTCTCCCACCGAGGACTCCAGGGTTCTCCCACCGAGGACTCAATGTTCATTCTTCTGAGGAATATCAAGCTGCGGCTCGTCCATGCGAGAGATCGAAGGGGGAAATTCCTCCAAGAGGGGCGAATCACTCCTCAGAAGTTTTCAAGCAAAGCGAGCTCCCCGCATTGCTAGTTCTTCCCGTCTATGCTCGACTCTAAGAGTGAATCACGGGAAAGATGATGGGGCATGTTAGAACCCTGTGGAACAAATGATTCCGGCAATCCGATTACAGTAAAAGCTCGTTATAACGACCCCCATTACAACGAATCTCTCGGTACAACGAAAAAGGAATTTCTCCTGCTTTGGCCAGCTCGCCATAGGGATAGTGTTGAGTGGCATTCGTTACAGCGAAATTTCGGTACAACGAACCAGTTTCGTCAGTCCCTTCGTGTTCGTAGTAACGAGCTTTTACTGTATCATGTTCGCGAGAATTTTGAGTGCATCTGAAACCTTCGGAGAAGCACACCGATCCATACAAATCATCTGGGACCAGCAAAACTCGCCCTCATCGGGACGAGTCATTTTGTTATCCGCGACAAAACTCGCCGGCCCTTGAGGAACGCTGGTGCCGACCTCTCGATAGACAGAAGGTCCCGAACGTCGCGTAATTTCACTTGGGGGAATTTCGCACGCTGCAATTCGAATTTTGCGTTGTGAACAGATTTTCTCGGCTCCTCGGCGAGCGTAGAAGTACTGCGGAATAATCTGATCACGGGACATTAGTATGCCGATTGAGCATCGGGAGTTCCCACTCTACCCTTATTAGCCTCTCCCGCATATTATGAATCATGAATGTCCCTTCACAGCGAAATCGGGAATCATCACACGTACTGGTGGCGGAATGCTCCTATCAAGGTATGCAGCGAGTGATGCCAGCCTGGAGATCCGAACCTCTGCATTCGTCGTCGCGGACGTCCACCTCGGATATCCCTCATGGGAAACAAAGAATATGCTTTCCCGGCTTGGTCTTCTTCTCTCTATTTTCCGGTGAGATTGACGCGACTCCGGAAGCAGCTCGATTTCCCATGATTCCCCCTGACAAGGAGCCGAGAGTCTCATCAAGACTCCCGTCTCCATCGACGAGTGCTATTCCGGAATCTTGAGTCTCTTTCCGGGAACACGAACAGACCTACGCTGACATAATGATGGAAACCATCTCGCAGCTCTCAGAGAATGTTCCGAGGCAAAAATAAAATCCACGACCAAAGTAAGGGAAACATCACATGAGGCATTGGGAGGAGTCGCTCGATGACGGCTACGAGAGAGATCGGCGAATATCATAATCATGGTAGCAGCGCAAGTGCCCGGAGGAGCCCTCCACCGAGGAGACCGTACGATGCTAGGGATGATTTCCCGTCATCTCGTATCCTTGATTTCACTGAGGCTCACTGAGAGAAACAAGGTATGGCTCAAAGTTTTCCCGTGGGTAGAGTCCACGGCAGAATGCGCACGACAGAACGATAGTCCGAAGGATGCTACCGTGCGACGCTCTGGATAGCGGAAGACCACAGCGGAGGAGAAGCTTATCGTGATGAGAATCGGGAAATCCTCCAGCAGCGTATTCGAGCCGATTCAGGACGTTCCAGTCTGGAATCCGTATGAGGAGCTCACGATGGAGACGAGAATTACGCGCGGGTGGTGTAGAAACACGACACGTCCAGAAGAGGAGGTGTCTGGGATTCTCGATGCTCACGAGTCAGCTGTTCCGGTTCTCTAAAAGTAAGGAGGCGATTGGAATGTCCGCCTGTCAAACCATGCACTCAGACAGGACAGTCTATTGAAGGTTTCCCTCCTCGCGGAGTTCGATGTTATGATCCGGCTCACCCGCTGTTACCGTTAAGTTTGACGTCTGTTATTGCCATCGAGTTTTCGAGCAAGTGTTTCTTGTTTGAGATCTACTTGTGATGATTTCCCCCGCATCTATGATTCACTGAATTGGAGAGACTGGTTCGTAAGTAAGTGAGAGGTCTCATTGCCGCTTGGGAACTTCAATGAACGATCGCTAGCACAAGCCGTCTATGTTTCGAAGTCCGAATATCAACCCTGTGATGATCTGAAGCCGAGATCCCTATGATACATTTCGAAGAAACTTCATCTGACAAGTGGCCTAATACTAGTCGATAATTTCAGTCGCAATGTACAAGGCCTATTCGTTGGAGCCGGTCCTCCAAAATTTGCCAGCTACCTTCTCGGTGGTCTGCGCCGCAACTTACAAGGATTCTATCCTTCTCGGCACCAAGCAGGGGCAGCTGGTGACTTTTACCGTGACGGACACCCCGTCCGCGGAGACGAGTTTTGATGTCAGACTCCGAAAGACAAACAAGACCTTCTCGCGGAAGCCGGTCAACCAGATGGCTGTGATTGAGGCGCATGACATTCTCATCAGCCTCTCGGACGGATTGGTCAGCGTGCATGCCCTATCTGACCAGTTACCTCTGCTTCAGCAACTCACCGACCATCGTGGGGCAAGCGTTTTCGCGTGCACGACCGAAACGGTCGAGGTTCAGAATGAAGACGACTCGGAGAAGAAGTATTTTGTTATGGTGAAGATGTGCATCGCGGTGAAACGACGATTACATCTTTTCTACTGGAAGCACAACCGGTTTCTCGATTATCCGTCGAGTCACGTTCTGCCGGATGTTCCGAGAACGATGCTCTGGTCTAGCGAAGACCATCTCATCATAGGATTCAAATCCGATTACATTTTGCTCAAAGCCAGAACTGCCGGAGAGGTCAAAGAACTTTTCCCGCTCGGGAGACAGCCGGAACCGCTACTGGCGAAACTCCACGGGGACAACATAGCCATGCTACTCGAGAAGCAGCTAATTCTCGCCGCGGCCAATGGGAAACCCACCGAGAAATATTCCATTAACCTCAGAGACACCCCCGTGTCGGTAACTTACGATCATCCGAACGTCATAGCGGTTTCGAATAGCGGTATCGAAATCCATACAATCCATCCTCGTCTCGACATCCAGGAAATCACAATGCAGCAGTCCCCGAAGCCTCACGCGCTCATAACGTGGAAGGCTGGTCGAGTGTTCGTGGTCTCAACAAATAACGTCTGGTGCATGGTCCGCACTCCGATCAGCGAGCAAATGCAGTCCTGCAAGGAGAAGAAATTGTATACGCTCGCGCTGACCCTAGCGGACCTTCTGGACACGAACGACGCGGACAAAGCTTTGTGCAAGTACCACATAAATAACCTGTTAGCTTTCGACCATTTCGTCAACCGGCGATACGATACTGCCCTGAAGTTATTTGAGGAGATTCAGACCGACCCACTGCACGTCATCGGTTTGTTCCCCACACTCCTGAAGGACCAGCACCGGAAGTTCCTTGATTATCCGGGACCATTACCGGATGTCTCCGCTGATCTTGGCGACGCTCTCCACGCTCTGACCGCATATCTGAAAGCGGCTCGGCGAACCATCATCGGACAGACTGGCGAGAGCGTCAAGGTCGGCGGCATACTCGAAGGCACAGCCGCCGTTCGACCGAAGAAAGAACTTCTGCAGATAATCGACACCACGATATTGAAGAGCTACCTGCAAACAAATCCTAGTCTCGTCGCATCTCTCCTCCGCTACCGGGACAACCATTGTCACCTCGAGGAATCGGAATCGGCACTCCTGCAGCATCACAAGTACACCGAGCTGATAATCCTCTACGAACAGAAAGGACAGCATCGGAAAGCGTTGCAACTCCTCTTCGAACAAGCTCACGTACCGAATTCACCTCTCAATGGCCACGAAAAAACAGTTCAATACCTCCAGCGTCTGTCGGTTGAACATTTTGAGCTGATCCTCGAGTACGCGAAATGGGTCATAGAAGCCTTTCAGGATGATGGACTTAAGATCTTCATCGAGGAAAAGTGTGAAAGAGAGAAGCTCCCCAGAGATCGCGTCATTCAATATCTTACCAAAGAAGCTCCAGCCCTGATACTGCCATACCTCGAGCACATAATACTCAAATGGCGAGACGACAATATTTTGTTCCACAATATGCTCGTCCACAAATACCGCGAACAGATCCTCCTTCGATCGGACAATGGCGTCGCCGGTGAGGCCGCAACCGCTCTTCGGCAGAAGCTCCTAGTCTTCCTGCGTACTTCCGAAAGGTACACCGTGAACAAGTTCCCGCAATATTTCCTCGATGACAAGCTCTACCTCGAATGCGCCATCGTCATGGGGAAACTTGGCCGGCATCAAGATGCCCTCACCATTTACATTCACGTGTTGAGAGACCTCGACCTGGCTGAACAATATTGCCTCGAGCATTACTTGCAGCATAAAACCGTTGATCGAGAAGTCTTCCTCATCTTGTTGAGCTTATGCAATCGTCCAGCTGACGTCTGTCTGAAGGTGAGGCCGGATTCCATCTTCACGATTTCCACCGAGAGGATAGAAATATGATACTCATGAGAGTTTTGGATTGATATCGATCCGGAGTCCGCGTATACGGGCGTCACCTCCCATCAGGTCACCTCCTTGGGGCTGATCAGCTCCTGATTGGGAGAATGCTCATACCTGTGAGGCCGCAGACTCTGATAGGCGTAACGAAACCCCTTCCCCCTCCAGGCGCTGAACATCGGGGCCCCACCTCCGACTGAACCAATCAACATCAGCCGGGTACTTGAGATTCTAAACAGACACGCGGATAAACTCGACCCTCTGAGAGCCGTCGAGGAAATTCCCCCCGAGGTGTCGCTGAAGAAGTTGGAACAGTTCCTCACAGGACTCTTGGAGACCCAGAACGTTTATCTATCGAAGGTGAGTCTCTTGGACTTCAGGTTTCCGGCAGTGGTACTCGGGATGATCATTTCGGTTTCACGAAGTCAATTCCTCTTCAACAGTTGCGGCTGCGTCAAGCCCTTTTAATGAACGAGAACTTCAAAATGAAGGAGATCAAGATGGACATCGAGAAGAATCCCGTCCTTATACAAGACAGCACTTTGTGTGATATCTGCGGGAGAAGAATCAATCGAAGTGTTTTCGTGATGACGGAGGACCAACAAATTGTGCATTACGCCTGCCACAAGAGAGACATGTCCATGTAGAATCGACGGCTCAGAGGAACGAGGCTGAATCGCTCTCGGGCGGCCGATTCGATTCCGGAACGGTGGATGAATGATGAAATGCTGAATGATTCCCTCTGGAGCGCAGTTGTACATAGAATGGTTTTGTTCCATTTGTCAGATTGGGAAATATATCTATTTTTCATTGGCGTACGGGAGAGGTATTCCTCATTCATTTTTCAAAAGCAGACGTGGATAGAAGACGAGGTCTTGATACGTCCCTTGATGATCGCACAAAGAGAGGGAGAGAGAGCTACGAGATCTTCTGTTTGCATAAAACGATACCGGAACCTCCATGGAGCTTCCTCGTTCCTTTTATTCCAACACTCCTTCCCTTATCTATGGGAAATGCCATCCAGGAGATTTTCATCCGGTCCCCGCGATTGTGTCCACTGCGTGGGCCCGAGAGGAGAAGCTCCACTGCACAGTTGCTCTTCCATCAACGCTCAGAATAAATACTTTGACTAGCTGCCTTTCGCCCGTTCCCTGTCTTATGCAAAATTCTCATCTGGCCTGTTCTGTTTTTCCGTTCTTATTTGGGATTTCCACAACTAGCGGTGAATCATCGAGCCGCCTCAGGACCAATAAACGCGGTTTGGCTTTCACGACGATTGGCTGGAAAATGCTCAAGAGATCGAACTTGATCCCGGAGTATCCAGGCACGTGATCGATGATCTCATAGTGGTTCTTGTACGGTTGAAATTGACTCGAAATGTGAGAGTTGCCCTCTATTATCAGATGTGTGTAGTTTCTCGCGAGAATTTCGCGTGGAGTTAGATTCTCCGTCTTATCATACAGCCAATCCCGTCTGAGTTCGCTGAACCTCGACGCTCCCGTCTGAGCGGCGAAGTTGCATATGTGTACGCTCGAATCGTAGCTATGAGCTTCTAGCTCGTGTAGTCGAAGGAGAGCGTATCCTCCGGGATAGTTGTACGAAGAGATGAATAGCAGTGTCTGAGTCATGAACAGATTCGCCACCAAATGGAAACAGACGATCAGAACCGACATGGTCCAGAATATTGATTTCCGTCTTCGGTCCCACACCCACGAACACGCGCGGGCCGCCGCCAAGTTCAACAGTGGGAAAACATACATAATGAAACGGAGTTCTTTGTGGGGCAGTAAGGAGTACAAAAGCACGTAGGCAACAGCAGGGAAGCACGTTGCGCGTATCCTTCGGTCTACGTAAGCGGCTAGAGGAACTAGTAATAACGATGATCCCATGGCCCGAGGTATGGCCGAATAAAAGTACCATGCCCAGTGTTGCTCTCCGTATTCCCCGGATTTGTTTAGAATCACGTTGAACCAAAGGACCTGGAAAGAGGAGGTCGAATGTGAAAGGCAGAAGCCGAACACTCGGATTCGCTCAGGAACGAAATTCGTGGTTGGCAAGAAAACATGTCGAGGATTAGGGTTACGAAATGCCTCGACTGTCCGCCCCTTCGGAGCACGCAGCTTCGAGCAACCTACCTCGCCTTCAGGCCAGAGGGGTCTCCGCCAAAAGATGGAGTCCACGGTGATCGACAGGCAGAGCCATGCCAATCCTGCCGGGATACCCCACTTGAGCATTTGGAGCGGGTGTAATCTTCGACCGTAGAGCTCCATGAGGAGAATCACTCCGAGGAGCGAGAGCAACTCCGACCGAAACACCAAAACCACGAATGCCGTGCAGACAGTCAATCGGAAATGGTCCTGATCCAGCCAGAACGAGTAACAAAACAGAACGAAGATCAACGCGAATGTATTGGGCAAGGTTCGGGACATGTAGAAAACAAAGTGGAATTGAGTTGCCTGTATCAAAACCAACCAGACACCCGTCACGTCTCCGAACACGCGTTGTACCTGTGGAGGAGAGAGATGTTTTGAACACTACGAACTTTGGACGATCAACGATTTCGGGATATTCTCAGCGGGAGGAAGAGGTGAATTGCTTACGCTCACGATGAACCGACGGTAGGCCATGGTGACGAGAAAGGCTAGTATGAATCTCACTAAGAAAAGTCCGACTATTTTCTCCATTTCCAAGAGTCGGCATAAAGCAATGAAAGGGGACGCGAGGGTAGCGATTAATAGTGGTCCTAGAAATGTTCGGGGCACAACCCCCGGGAACTCCAAGTGATCATAGGAGCTCAGATTGGTTCGATGGTGTAGAAGATCATGTATTGCCTGCGGAAGAGGATCATGTCATTTTCGGATGTTGGAGAACCGACCAATCCCGACGCCTTGCTGAAGTTGTGGAATTGAGAGTACGGCTATTGAGAACTGTCAAGCGTCTCGGGTGTGCGACGATTGATGATGAAGCTCGCCTCAATGATCGATTTCCTCGGCGGATAAACATCCGAGTCGAGCTCCGGCAGCTCCCCGCCTAGCCAATGAGCCCACAAGCAAAATTTACCTGGAGGTTGAAAGATTCCTCCACTTTTGTGAAAGGACAGATCACAATGTGAACCACGGCGCTGAGGAAGAGCACCCATTTGTAGGTTCGGTCTCCGTTACATTCCGCCATGGGAGTCGCCGTTTGTCGGGTGCCACGTCTCAGAATCCTTCGTCGGCTGGATGTTTTCACAAACGGGAAAGCATGATCTCGCGATTGATCGGTTTCCGCGCGAATCTTAGCAGGTGCGCGACACTCCACGGAGACACCGAGTTGAAGCTCTCTTTGAGGACTGGTGTCTGCGTTCCCGGCGGGGACCGAAGATCACAATCATCAGTTTCAAATCCGGTAACTGCGGCCCCGGACATGAGGGAATCACGGAAGGTGCCCGATCGTCGAATGATCCCTTGGACATGAGAAGATCTGATGGGGCGACCCGATCGAACTCGGGCGCTCTCATTCGAATGATTCCAACGGAAGAGCTTTCTACAGAAGACCTCAAAGAGCCCAATTGATGAACATCGAGAAGGAGCCTCCTCCATCGAAAGGGGAGAGAATGAGTCGATGGGCCTCGTTGGGGAGAGAGTCACCATGGGATTTAGCCACCACCAGTAGAACACGTAAGCTTTAGATGAAACGTCGCTTCAGACCCAGGTTACAATTCTGTATGACTCTACGGGAAACTTGTTGATTAGTGTAGAGCGAACGCTGCAAACGGGAGCATCACGTCACGACAACTTGGATAGGTCCGGAGCGTCATCTTCGTGTTATTCCAGTCTCCCGTATCGGTTACATTTTCCTGCGCTCTTCCGCGCAGCTTTATCCGAAGTGCCATTGCGGAGGCTCCGCTAAAAGGATTGTTTTCTCGTGTACGAACATCTTCAGTCGCCCGTCGATCGATCTCCGAAAATTCAGATCTTTCGTTGAGAGATGCGACGCACGATGCATCAAGTTCTCGGAGCGTTGCTGCTTGTGACTTGTGTGGACGGGCTCGGGAAGATTAGAGAGAAAGATTTGACAGTCATAACTCTGCATCACGGGAAGTACACGGCAGCCAGGAGGACGAGTCCGGTTCCCCAATTGAGGTAAGATATCCTCGATCGAATTTTTTCATGGAGTCCTCGTTGTGACGTACTCGAGTCCGACCGAGTTCGTAGTGATAGAGAAGATCACCTTCTTCCTGTGAGAATCCCTATATGAAATCGATCTTGAAGAAGAATCTAGAAGTGTGGAGAAGCCGATGTGATCAACTGCCATCTTGGCACATTCGGGACGGGATTCTCGGTCTCTCTTCGTGGACGAGGAAATATACCGTACTTCCTGTAATTCCATAGACTTCACTTGCTTCTTCCTTTCAGTTGCCTTTCGAATTGTAAACACGCTCCTCAAACAGTGCAATGCAAAGCGACTGGCTGGGACGGAGAGAAATTGCACTGGAAATGTGACGCGATGCTCCCCGAGGGAGTCCAATTCGGTGAGTGAATTTCTCGTTCGGCGACCATTGTTCCGAACGCCACCTGTTTGCTCTAGCTCCGTGTGACATTGCTCGAGAAATGTTGAATTTGTATCACGTAGTGATCCCGACTCTTGACCTACCCGATCGAGAATGGAACATGGCTGGGCGCCGGAAGGAGAGCTGAGCTTCGTTCCATGGTCGCGTTTTCTGCTCTAATTGATTAATGAACTTCTATCTTCCCCAGGCTCAGCAGACGTCAATTGTGAAGGTTACGATTATCCCGACGACCCTTACGTGACGATCGGGTCGTGTGGACTCACTTATACTCTTACTGGACAGAGCTCAGGGAAAGGACATGCTGGGGAAAGTTCTGAAGGAAAGATGCCGCTGATTCTCATTGGGATAGTCTTCTGCGTGCTGCTCGTGTTATGGTGCGGCAGTGATTCCCGGAACCCTGGCGACAGGCGGCGGCCGTCTAACGACGACGATAGCAACCAAAGGAGGGGCTTCTATGGGGGATCTGGAGGTTTCGGGGACAACACGACGCCTGGTTTCCGACCGGACTACTATTCCTCCGGCGGAGGCTGCGGGGGAAACCAACAGCCAGCTGGAAACGCGGGCGGATTCTGGTCTGGACTCGCCACCGGGGGTCTCGCTGGATACATGTTCGGTCGCAATAATAATGCTTACGGATACGGCGGTGGCAACTATGATTACGTACGGAATAGGGGTTATTCGTCTGGTCTCTTCTCGGACAGCGGCGCAAGCTCGTCGGGAGCATCCACTTCGCAGACGAGATCGGCGTCTGCATTCGCTTCAACTTCGAGACGGTGATTCCTAGTAAGGCCGTTCTGAGCGCTCATGCCCATGGAGGAACCATCGACGATTGAAACCACGACGTCCTTCGTTAAGGATCACTTGGCTTTTGTAAATATATGTTTTCCGAAATTGTTGGAGGACGGTGAGAGCATCACGTATGTTTTGTGTACAGCACGATTTGAAACGAGAAATCGTTGTAAGAATCACTAGGAACCGTCGATTGTAATGCAGCAGATAACATCTCCGCGTTGGCTCCGCGTCGGAGCTCTAATTATTTAGCTCTGCACTCGATGCGGCTCTTCGATGGATGACTCCGCGACCCACTTGAGCGAGTTCCTCTCCGCGGGACCCCACTTGGCTGCATGCAAATAGAAAAATGCGATGGATTTCGCCTCGAATTTTTGAACAGCGTCCTTATTCTATTGTAAAGTATTTCCTACGAGATTCAACACATGTGCCTGACGAGAGAAATCCCATGATCGGTAATAGCTTCGAGAAGGCCCGAAGAAGAAGTCGGCATATCATAGTTCGAGAAAGCAAGCCTCAGGGAAAACGCTATCAACACGGGAGCGTGGAACTCGTTTCCAGGAAAGAGGAAAACGCTGTTTGTCGTCTATTCCATTGTCTCGTCACTCCTGAATTCCACAGATATTGTCAATTTTGAGTCCTTACGACGAGCTGACACCGTCTGCGGTCGAGCGTTCAGGGAACCGACAACCTGCGGCTGCCGCCACCTGACCGTCATGCGTTATAGGTGTAGCTTCCCTGGAACTCACTCGATGTCAGCACGATCCTTACGCTCGATTCAGTCGACGAATCGGGCCCTGAGGGAGCAGGTCCCCGCCGAAGCCTGACTGACTCTACTGTTGTTTGAAGCGTGGTAGGCCATTTGGGCTTGTTTGGGGATCAGAATGATTTGAGCTTAAAAACGTATAGAGCCTTCAACTAAACATCCGGGAGGATGAGCTCGCCAATCCTCGAACTCATAATTCACTCCACACCGTTTTTCATTGAGGAAGAAACTGCCGTGACGTCCCTCTGTAGATTCCGGCTCACGAGGTCTCCGCGAGGGACTTGAGTTCATGGGGAACCTCACCGCCTCAATTCGGGTTCGAAAACTTGGAGATCGCTCCGGACTAAGTAGCGATGTGGATGAGTGAAATGCTCCCTGCCACTCGGGTGTCCGTCCCTCTCCTTGACACAAGGGACATGACTCCGATGAATTCCAGTTTCTGACTGGAGTTCAGCGGTCCAACGATTTATCGGCTGTCCACTAGATCACAAGCCGTGCGTCAGAAGGGGTAGCGACAAGTGAACGGTACTTCCGAGTCAGTCAAAGGAGCTTCGGAGCTCCTCACCGTGCTCTCCGGTGAGAGCGGCGCCACACTTACAAAACCGGGGAAACTCTTCGCGGCGTATCAGAGCTCATTTCCTATTATGACGTGACTTCCGCAAGGGTCGGATGAACATGTTCAGAGTTCTATGGGGAGAGCGGGAGCCCAAGTCGATGGACGAGGTAGATGGTTTTTCGGGAGCTGGCGAACTCCACGCCGAGAGGAAAATCGACGAATTGAATTCGGTACGGGGAAACCACCGATCCGTCGCTTCAGATCATTCAGCAGGTGAAAGGGAGTTTCGCTTTTCCCTGAGGTCCGTCACGATTCCTACACCCACTGGGGTGTCCACAATTCTCCGGATCAGATTCGAGCATCACGAATCGGATTCAAATATTACAGAATAGGGTCCGGTTTTTTATCAATTATTTTTCGCAAGTCTGCTAACGTCACCTTGCTGTCAGTCGGACCGTGACGGCAGGGGCGAGGGAAGTCGGTAGGTGCTGAAGGAATGGGATGCTCCGTCCGCGCCGCGCGGACTGGCTCATCCGGTCTGACAGTGCGTCAAGCCATCCCACGTCAGACGGCCGTTCGTCGCTTCGATATGTAGTGTTCCCCGCTCCGATGTGTAGGAAATTATCGCGATTGTTCGGTACGAGTTCTGCGAAGGTTGTGATGGCATGGCCGGACTCAGCTATGCCGAGGCTCGACCAGTGAGAATTTAGGCAGTTTTACGCCTCGAGCCCGTCCGTCGAGCCGCGAGGGCTCAACAGTCGCGGAAAAACGCTCGGGAGCCGCTCTGTGCCCATCATGTACCACAAGGAATCGCAATGGTTTCACTGTTGCTGGAGTATGGCCCTGATACATAACCGGATACTGTGCTGTGAGCTCTACTCTGCGTGCGTGGCCCTTGGAATTATAGCTCTGGTGAGTACGGGGGGAATTCGAAGAATCACAGGGGACCTTCGCGCGGGAAACTCCTCTGCGGAACGGGCGGGTATCCTGAGGGAGTATACTCGGAATTTGAGAGAACCGGGAACCACTTCTTCTGCGGGGAGAAAACGGGCCCAAAGTTGGAGTGAAAATTTGCAGAATTATCAGAATCACGGCTCATGGGTTCGATAATCGTGGCGGTGATCCGAGAATACCAGAAAATCACGTTTCAAGAACCGTCGGTTTGGAAAACATGCCGAGAAGGCACCGAATCGATTCTCATTCCTCAGCCGCAAGTATTGTCATCCACAGGGAAATCGAAAAAATTCTGGCGTAAGACAAGTAGAATTGTGATTTCGACCCGCCATTCGGCGATTCCATTCCCAGACGTGAGAATCTTTACATAGGAAAGACCGCCGGAACATCAGATGAACTCCGATCGTAGAATAAGACGTGAATATATATCCTTGCCAAGCCTGGTTTTTGCTGACGTTCGGCAGGCATGAGCAGTTTGAGATAAACTCGCATTCGGGGAAATTCATTTCAATAAAAACTGGGAAGTTTGGGGTGGTCATTCAATGATATCCCGAGATTGATGTTGGATCCGCTTCCCAAGTCCCCTGGGAGAGCTCGGATGGGCCCACGGTACATCGATTCCGCCGCTCGATGCTCGGTAGACCGGACGATGTTGTGCATGCCGACGCGAGCACATTCATTTTGAGTGACACGAATATATCCGTACTTCGAAAACACTACAATATCTCTAAGCAGAACACCGCAATAATTCGACCGACTTGGAGTGACCCATTCCAAACAGTCGATGATATATTTAGTAAAAGTCTTTCGATTCTGGTACGCCACCCAGCTCGTTCGGGTTACCCATGTCGATCGGCACAGGAACCATCATACATGGATTGTCACGTTTACGTCACTCATCAGGATTGCTCGAGGGGCATACGGGATTCGATGGTTTTCGCCCAGGGATGATTTGGGCGATGTGAATTCAAGAACTTCAGCTGAACCTTAATCCGACGTAGACGTCTCAAACAAAAAGCAAAACTCTGGTGTCGGCGAGAGAGCAGTGCTCATAGCTATTAGCGATCACGTCTGTGTCTCGGTCAGCGAGCAGCAGGTCCACAGACATCAAGGGCGGCTGCTTCTTCACCGAAAATCACGCGTGTGGGTTTCAACTGACGTCCAATCTCAATCATCTATCGGGGTCCAGAGCGACGACTCGCTGCCGATGGGTCGTAAGTGGAATTTCTGTCGAAGACACCCACTGATCGAGCGACGCGATCGTCAATCCTTCCTCGCCAATCTGGTTGTAGAGACGACGAAAATCGGGTGTCTATCTCTGGTAGCTGAAATTGAGACAAATAAACCGTGCTAGATCTGCGTCTGAAGCAGAAACCAATCCCTCCAGAGATGGGCTATGATCATGTGAGCGGAAAGAATTCTTGTCTCTCGGGGCGTGCTCGTTCCCCTCATGTTTCTCACTCTCCCTCTAACATCCGATCGGAGGCGTGAGGTCTTGTATTTGCCAATCGCACGATAAGTTTTCCACCGCTGAGCCTTTACCTAGAGGGGTAGTCTGCCGAAAAATCTTGTTTGACCGATCTACTCGAGATTGCCAAGGGAGTGAGCCTATTAAGGAAGCCTCTTCCAACCGCGCTTGGGGCGGTTTCCAGCCTTCGGTGGGGTGTCTATCCGTGCCGGACCTCTACCGGTTTTCCGTCAGCACTGCGTTTCCACGACAGCAGGCATCTTCGCTCTTCTCGGAGGCTCAGGATCACGCGGGAAGGATTCTCGAGCTCTGAGCCGTCATCACCGAGATGCTGTCCTCTGGAAGGGCTTTTCGGCCGCGTCTTCCAGGAATCGATCCCGCGGAGTGTCTGCTCTACCGGGCGACCAAATCGCGGAGTATCTGATTGTCTTCTTTTATTTCCCGATGGCCCCCGAGATCGCCGGCTACTCGTATTGAGCAGTCTGATCCTCCCGAAAATTCATGCTATCTATCGCGGAAAAGATGGAAGGAGTAATTTGACGGATGTGAGGGTTCCTTCCTTGCTAGTGAGAAACGGAAAGTCGTGGGCAGCCGAAGAGCTGAATTTCAAGGAAGCGTCTTAGATGGAAAAATCAAGATTCACACGAGACGGTATTCGGATACGGGTCGGTGTAACCACCCTTCGAGCTTCGATTGGAAGCGAACTATCCCAGACATCTGTCTCGGAAGTCTAGTCGTTAGATTGCCGATTCCGCAAAACTCTAGTCTTCGAGCTCGGTTAGCCCTCTCGTACTTGATTCAGATGGTAGCGACCCACAGAGAATGGGCGAAGAGCTTTAGCAGTTTTTCTAAGAATGGGAAACCCTAAAGACCGTCGACAGCCACGCCGAAGAGAGTTTTATGAATGACCCCGCGCAAAGCTAACGGGAGTTGGCTGATGTGACGCCTGACAGAACTCTCACTTAGCAGCAAAATGATTAGAGCCGATTTCCAGCGCTGAGCCCGCACAAAATATTGTATCACCACGCCCATGCACTCCGGCCACGGCCGGCCGCACTCAGAGCTGGCGAATGCAATCGCCACGGCGCGGCGCATAAGCGAATGGATGCTTAGGTGACTGCCGGGCTCGATTCCCCGCCGATTGCACCCAATCGACTTTTGGTACAAACTTCTTCATCCGAAATAATTGTTCTATCCCAGACGTATGTCACACAAAAGAGGCACTTTGCGGACCGGATGCTGAT